GAGGATCACCTTGAGGTTGAGGCCAGCCTAAGCTACATAAGTGAGTTCAAAGCCAACCTAAACTACATAGTGAGGCCCTGTTTCCAAACAACTAAAAAAAGATCTCTGGAGAGAAGATAATATTTATTGAGTACCTGTTATATATCATATATACCTTCCTCCCTTTAATAAACAGGCTGAGAGAGGAAGTACTGTCACTTGGCCATATAGTTGATGAATGAAAAGCTAAAGGCAGCTCCGAGTCTCCTGACTTGGGGTTTGAACAAACCCATTCATTGCTGGTGGCTCTTTTATCTGCCTGCATAAGAATTATAGCCTTATTGAAAAAAATGAAGCCTGTTTTCCGAATGTTTGAGCCATGCATAGCACTTCTCTGATTTGACTGGTTGTAATTTCATACAGCTTTTCAGAGATAGTGGCATTAGTCCTAATGACTAATGAGTGGGAAAAAGACAGGGTACCAATACTTATTTTGAACTATATGCCAGACTTTAATATCCGTTAACTAGTTTTTATGACTACGAAGCAGGCTTATCCTCATTGTGCTAATGAGGACACTGAGGTTTGGATGGGTTAAACTCCAGGTCACCTGGCTGTTAACTTATGAGTTGGGAGACCTGAGCTCATTCTGCTTTCAGACTTGCTACTTGACCTCATGGTGAGATGTTTTCATATGTGGGTAGGCAGTCAAGCTTTACTTATTCCTTATTTGTGTCCACCTTTTACCTACCTACCTATATAGGTTCACTAGAAATATTTTAAGATTTGAGTCCAAGATCTGGAGTATATGGCTAATTATAATACTACTCCTTAATTATGTAGCTGTTGATTCTCAGAAAGCTGAAGGATTCGCCCCTGTCCTAAACCACTTGTAGCCATGATCTTGCCAGATGACAGCCAGTGGGATGAAACCATCTGTGACTTGGCTGTTTGTCCGCATCCACAATGCTGGGCAGCTGTCCGTCGAATTGAAAGGGGCCATCCTCGAATCCTGAGCTTACCCTGCAAGACTGCCTTGGATGCTGAAGGTGAATTCACCAGCTTCTGTTTTTTTTCCAGAGTTCCTTACACTCTTTCTGTATGGCTCCCTTTCTCTAGGCAACACATTACATATTTTTCTCTGATCTCCTTTCTCAGATAAACTCCCAGGGCTCACTATTGTAAACATCTCAGATCCCTGCTTGCAGGCCAAGACACTTGCTCACCGGCAGTCACCAGAATTTGCCTTCACTACAGCTCATTCCTTATTGTCTCCAGGCTCAAAGCTTGCCTCCAAATTGCAAGGCAGGTAAATTATCATGGTATTTTCCTTGAGTGGATTGTCATCTCAAAATTTTAGGTTATAATTTCCCTTTTGGATTAAAAAGGAAGAACTAATTCAGTTAAAGAAGTGATGAATAGGTGTAGAGAAACAAAGTATTCCAGCTGTGTTTTAGGATTTGATAAAAGTAGAACTGTTGTGGTTTGCTAGGTTTGGTGAGTAGAGGACCAGAGACTGAGTGGCTTGCACAGTTCACTGCATGTCCCCACCATTCTGGAGGCTGGACGTGTAAGGTCAGGGTGTGTGCAGTGGTGTTTTGTTCTGAAGTCTCTTTCCTTGGCTTGTAAATTCCTGTTGTTTTTTTCTCCCTGTGTCTTCACTCAGACTTCCCTTTGTGTTTGCCCATGTCCTATCTTTTCATTTCACGAGCATGCCAGTTATATTGGTTTAGGGTTCATTCATATGACTTCATTTTGCCTTAATTATCTTTTTTTTTTTCTTAATTATCTTTTGAAAGCACCTCTCTCCAAGTACTGTCACATTCTTAGGAATTTAACAGATGAATTATTGGGGGAAGGAGACACAAGTCAGTCCCTACAAGGGGCTGTAGGTCATCAGAAAACAGTCCACACATCATCTTTCCTATCTTTTATTTTCAGGTATGAAGCTGTAATCTCCCAGAAGCAGAAAAAGTTGGCTTTTCTTTTTGAATTTCCTAGGAAGTATAGGCATCTGATCTTGCTGATACATGACACTGAGGGACAACTATTTGAAAAACTGAGCCTAAACATTGGAAGACCCAGTTGCCTGGAATTCAAGTGTTAGTAGTGGTCCTTAAAATAGTTTACTTTCTTCTGTGCCATGCAAGCAGTTCCTATTGATTTTTCTCAGCTAAAGACAGCACAGGAGAGGTAGGACTACTTTCAGGGTCTCTAGGACTTGAGTGCTGGGAAAATGGCAGCATTGTGCAGTGGGATCTGGTATCTCACATTCACACACAGGCATGCAACGCACTTGTCCCACTATGCCCAGGTGCACAGTGTACTGAAGGCCACCTCATCCAGTCTGCTCCTGCTTTCATACCTTCTCCTTCAGTCTTCTTGCAGCAGCTGCCTTCCCCTTCCCTTCCTTTCCCCCTGCCCTCTCTTTCCCTTTTCCTCCCTTTCCTTTCACCTCCCCTTTGCGGTCCTGGTGCCTACACCCTGGGGCCTCTCACCATATAGATGAGTGTCCTACCATTACTCCACACCCCCAGCTCTGAGGTGGTTTATAAACTGTTCTCACTGTGCTTTCCCCTCTAAGCAGTCTGACAGAAGATGGACTGATTAGGCTTTGACAGATAACCATTTTGCTTATTGCCTTTCACAGACTGTGTTTTCCTTCACTAGAGAATAGTTCCTGCTCATTCTGGAGTTGTGGCTTCTTTACTTCCTGACTCCTCGTCTCATAGAATCTTCCCTCTGGTGCTAACTTTGCTTCTGAGCCAGACTTCTTCTGATATTCTTTGTTGTCTCTGACATTTTTGCATGTAATTTCCTCAGCCTTTAAGACTCTCTCACCTCTGCTCTGCCTCATTAAGTCCCTGAGATGGCTCCGTGAGATCTTGCCTTCCCAGTAGAACTCATCTTGCTTTTTTTTCTTTGTTCAGTATGTTCCAGCCACACCACTCTATTCCTTACATAGTTCATGAACAGGGATCATGGAACTACTCTTTCCTCTGAATGGCTTCTAGATTAGAGCTTTCAACCCCGCATTGTTGATGTTGTGTTTCATTCACTGTTCCTTGGGACTGTCCAGTGCAGCATGACCACCCTGTATGCAATTTCCCTATACCTTTGCCATTATTTAATTTCGCTTCCTTTGTCTAAATTCTTTTATAAGGTGTTCTTCAGTTTGCCTGCTTCCCTCCACTGGAATGTCAGTTCTGAGAGCAGGAGCCGTGGGTGTTTTTTGTTCACTGCTTTGTGTCATATGCCTTCAGTAGTGTGTGGCCTTAAAGAGAAGCTCACTAAATATTGTTGCTTGCGTATGTTCTCATCTTTGTCAGGATTAACTTTTCTCATTAACTGCTGGCTCTGGGTGCTCCTTTGCCCAAACTACTCCCACATTTATTGTCCCTGCTAAGCTTACGGATATTTTCACACCTATGTCCCCTTTGCTCAACTGGATGTGAAAGCCCGTTGAAGGAGAGAGTTATGCATGACATCATTTGTGTAATTGCAACTTGTGTCTTAGAACCTGTCTCAAAACAAAACAAAACAAAACAAAACAAAACAAAAAAAGAAAAAGAAAAAGAAAAAGGGATGGATGTAGATATAACTCAGTGTAAAGGTTCTGAGTTCAGTACCCAGCATCATAAACGCCTCCTCAAAAACAAAACATAGGGGCCAAGGAGATGGCTCAGTGGAATAAGCGCTTTCCTGGCAAGCGCAAGGGCCTGAGTTCAATCCCCAGTTCCGCCAAAAAACCAAAAAAACCCCATAGAAACAAAGCCACACCTCAAGCCCCAACCCCCAAATTCACAAACCTTTTAATGAGGGCCATTGTGCTGGATGCTGGGGATCCAACAGTGTTCTGTATCTTGTGTAGGAGACAGCCTTCCTCCTCCAGGGGCTTTCAGCCTAGCTGTAGAGGCAGGGACATTTGGTCTGATGAGTGTCATCAGTGGACTGGCGCCTGGGTGTGTGTAACCCCAGAAAAGGCTCCTAATCGCTGCTGTACGTGCAGGTGGTCCAGCCCAGAAGTTGAGCAATCTAGTAAGGTGAAGGCTACAGGTGGGAAGTGGGCTAGAAAATGCTTCTAAATTACAGGGTAGCATGTTCAAAGGGATGGAGGGGAGAGGCAGTTCTGTAGGTTCAGTATCAGGAGAGTAGTTTGTTGTGTTTGGAACATAGAACAGGACTGAATGAGTGATCAGAGACGAGGCTGAGGAGTAGAGTGCAGACACTTGCTTTTTTTTTTTTTTGTAGAAATTGGTGTCTCCATCCTACAATTTTGTAAATCAGGTTGAGATGGGTCCTTATCTTACACCTCTTGGTATTATTTAGTCACACTTTTTCTTCTTTCATTTTTGAAATGGGGATTTACAGTATAGCCCAGGCCAGCCTTGAACTTGCCATATAGCTACACTGGCCTGAACTTGGCAGCCCTCCTGCCTCAGCCTCCCAGCATGCTGGAATTACAGGCATGCACCACCACACTTAGTTTTTTATTTCTTTTTCTTTCTTTCTTTTTTTTTGGTGGAACCGGGGATTGAACTCAGGCCCTTGCACTTACCAGGGAAGTGCTTATTCCACTGAGCCATCTCCCCAGCCCCAGTTTTTTAAAAATTATGGTGAATATACATAACAAATTTTGATGATTTTAATTATTTAAAAATTTAAAATTTATTTATTTATTTGGTTTAGGGTCTCCCTATGCAGCTTGGGCTCCTAGTGATCCTCCTATCTCAGTTTCCTCAGTGCTGGGATTACAAGCGTATACCCCCACATCTTGTTTCAGTTGGCATGGGGCACCCTGGGTCCCAGGGCCTGCAGGGCATGCAGAACTGGGATCAAACCCAGGTCCTTGTGCTTGCCAGGCAGGCGCTTAGACCACTAGCTATCTCTCTAGTCCTTTTTAACTATTTTTAAAATTTTTATTTATTTTTGCGGAACTGGGGATTGAACTCAGGCTTTTGTGGTTGCCAGGTAAGCACTTACTCTACTGAGCTATCTCCCCGGTACCTAACTATTTTTAAGTGTAGAATTCATGATGTACAGCTACTATAACTGCCTATTTCCGGAATTTTTTTTTAAATCTCAGACAGAACCCAAATTTATTAAATAATATCTGTACATTACCTTTTCTTCCCTGGTAATCTCTGTTTTCTGTCTTTTTGAATTTGCTTATTGGGTATACCTCAGATAAGTAGAATCATACAAAATCTGTCCTTTGTCTCAGGCTTATTTCACTTGATATATTGTTTTTCAAGTTTCATGTAAGTTGTAACATGTATCAGAATTTCACTACTTTTTAAAAGTGAATAATTTCTATTGTATGTATGTCACATTCTATTTATTTAGTACATTTTGAACATTTCTATCAATGCTTATTGATTGCACTGAGGATTTAATCTAGGCCGGTTCCACTGAGCTCTCTCTTCATCCCTTTTTAAAATTTTTGATTTTGTGTCAGGGTCTTGCTATGTTGCACAGTTATCCAGGGTTAGGCTTAAAACTCTGATCTTCCTGTCTCAGCTTTCCAGAGTGGTGTCACTGTGCACCCGCTACGTCAGCTTTCACTGATGATGCACCTATATTTGGCTGCAGACAGAGGCATGGGTTATGAATGGAGTGTGCTGTAATAGCTGTAAACGTTTGTAGCATGTGAGATATCTATAAGTCCCTACGTTCATTTGGTTAGTGCCAAGCACAAGGTTTTCTGTGGATAGGGAGAAGAGTTTTCTTTTTTTTTTTTTTAAATTTTTTTTTTTATTTATTTGTGTGTGTGTGTGTGTGTGTGTGTGTGGCCAGCTCAGCCCACCAGGGGGCGGGGCTGGCTCGCATGTGGTGCTGGGGATTGAACCGCGGTCCCTGTGCTTTGCTAAGCTTGTTCTAAGTAGATGCTTTAGACCACTGAGCCATCTCACCAGCCCAGAATTTAATTTAATTTTTTGTTTTTTGCTTTTTTTTTTTTTTTTTTTCGGAAACGGGGATTGAACTGAGGCCATTGTGCTTGCCATGGAAGCACTTATTCTACTGAGCCATCACCCCAGCCCGGGAGAAGAGTTTTCTTCATAGCATTTATTTTGTCATGCCAGTGTCTTTGGTGCCTGTTTCATGTTTGCAACTCTTGCTTATTAGGGCTCAGAAGGATTCACCTAAGAAAACTTTGATCAGCTGTCCTAAGAGATCTCCCAAAGAAAGTCACAAAAAGGTACTCCCTTTACTTTACTAATGGGAATAAAATATTTGATCTCTAATGTTATTCTGTAGGATCACTATAATCAGAATAATAGTCATGATAAACTGGGTGTGGTGGAACATGCCCTAATCCCAGCACTTGAGACTCTCAGTCAAGGAGGATCACAAATTTGAGTCCAGTGTCGGGCGATTTAGCGACTTAGACCTTATCTTAAAACTAAGAATAAAAAAAGACTGAGGATGAAGCTCAGCCCAAAAGCCTCATGTTTAATCCCCCAACAGCCTCCCAAAACGCTAATAACTGTCTAGTCTTGACTCCTTGCTGTATACTGAGCTCTGTGCTAATGGCTTTGCATGCTATATTGTTTCAGAAGTCCCAGACTTAAGTGGGATTAATTATGGAAGTTTGGTATAGGCGAGAATTTTCTTTATATTGTTTCAAAGCAATTAGAATAGGAGAATATCAGACCTAAACAGGCCTAAAGGCCATCTAGTCTGATGACTTCCAGTCTTTTAAAACTATCATAAGTGGAAATTATATTTTATAGCAAAATGCCATGGAATAATCCTCACTCCTAACTATGGAGATGTACTCTGGTATTTTCTGTCCTATTCTATTTAATTCTTTTTTTTCCTATTGTATTTAATTTTATCTCATTTTTAAACAATATGAGCTTGATTCACATTATTATTATTATTATTTTTTTTTGTCTTTTTTGTCTTTTTCACTGTATGGTTCAGGCTGGCCTTGAACTCACTTTGTAGCCCAGGCTGGCCTCAAACTCACAGCGATCCTCTTGCCTCAGTCTCCTGAGTGCTAGGATTACATGTGTGCACCACCGTACATGGCTGCAAAATTTAATTTTTATGACATATGCATAATCAGAGTTTCAGTTTGAAGAACATTATTATGGTCTGTTGTGTGCATCGTATAGTTAAAGAAACAGGCTCAGATGGGAAGTGATTTGCTAATGGACATGGCTAGTTAGAAGTAAATCAGTGCTAAATTAGAACTTCAGGAAGAAAATCTTTGTTACTTACCTATGGTAAAGAAGGATTTACTGTTCCTCGCATTTTGACTGCATGCCTTTTGTTTTTCTCATCCTTAACTGCTGTATTATGTGATGGTGGATGCAAGGAACTAAGAGCTACTAGATGGGTTTTAATGGATGAATGAACGAAATAGCTTACCTCCTTGACCTTTTTGAATAAGAAGGTTAGATTAAATTATTATTTTTAATTAAATTAATTAATTTTAGGGGTCAAGGAGATAGCTCAGTAGAGTAAGCACTTGCATGGCAAGTGCAAGGGCCTGAGTTCAATTCCTGGTTCCGCCAAAACAAACAAAAACCAAAAAAACAATTAATTTTTTGTCTTCTTGAGACAAGGTCTCGCTGTGCACTTCAGGTTGGCATTGAGCTCACACTGTAACCCAGGCTGGTCTTGAACTTGCAGTGTTTCTCTTGCATCAGTCTCCTGAGTGCTGGGATTACAGTTGTGCACTACCATACTGGCCTTATTTTAATTTAAATTTAAATTTTTGCAGTACTGGGGTTCGAACCCTGAGGTCCTCTGCCACTGGGCTATATTTCCAACCCTTTAAAGAAGATTTTTTTGTTTTTTTGAGACAGGGTCTCTCACTATATAGTGCAGGCTGGCCTTGAACTTTCATATGTAGCCTTGGCTGGCCTCAAACTAACAGTGATCTTTCTGCCTCAGCTTCCTGAGTGCTGGGATTGCAGGCATGTACCAATATGCCCAGCCTTAAGAAAAAAAAAATTTTTTTTTTAAATTTTGAGAGACAGTCTTGCTAAGTTGCCCAGATTTTCTTGCCTCAGCCTCCCCCAGTGTAGGCATTTTAGTCATGTGCCACGCTTAAATTATTTCTAAATTAATGATTTTAATAGATATACATGCACATGATTCAAAATTCAAAAACCATTAAACATTTACAGTGAAGAATCTTTCTTTTTTCTCCCTAGTCCTTTTCACAGTGGCAACCTTATTTTTAATAGTTTTTTTTTGTTTTTATATCTTACTAGGAGTATAGACTAGGTTCTCTT